CCGACTCCTACTTTCGACCATAATGCAATCCTTTTTTCCATCTTACCATAAGACGGTTATGTATCGACATCAAAATTACATTTAATGCAGTCTCACTTCATCTCTCAACATCAGATCTTCCACTCCTATTGATTTATTTCCAGTACACCACACATAAAATCTTTAATAATTAATATAAAATTACACTTAAAGAGTATTTTAACCATTAAATTAATACAATATTCTATAATATTTTGATTAATACAAACAAAAACCCAATTTAGCATCATTAATCAGAACGAGTTACTTTTAGTTAAATCATTGTATATGTACCTATAGACCATTTAACTAAAAGTGACCCTGCCGATTACTTTCCTCATACACAATAAGAAAAGTCAGCCTTATGAGCGATTAGGCTTAACTCGTCGTCAACGAAACGACGGAAATTAAAACGAAAAGACCGATTTAAACGAAATATAAAGCGTAATAAGTTAAACCGAATCGTATTCTACACACAAACGAATATATCATACCATTTAAAACAGGCGTTTTCTCTAAAAAAAATAATAATATTTATATATTTGCCTTCCGCAGAATCTTACGTCTGCGTTTCAGGTCACATGACCCAAACGAGTTAAAATTTTCGGACGGTAGAGAGCAGCACGGATGAAGATCGCATTTCTTTTCAGCCTCCGAACGTCCCCCTTTTTCGTCATCGTTTTTGACCAAATTTAGCACGTGTGTGCCGATGAGAAACTCTTCGACTAAAACTCATTTAGCATTTACCATACCGAACGTCCTAGTCTCAAATGTATATCATAAAGTAGTTATCGCTAGTTTTTAATTATTTTTTTCTTCCTTTAAACTTCCACTTAAAAGCTCGTTTCTTTCATCGAATTTCAGGAATTGTCAAACGTCCAGAAAAACTTTCGACGAGTTCAACCCGGTAAGAGAAACCTAATTTCTTTATCTATGTCAAACCTTATTACTATCTTAACGTAAACACTGTTTTTATATGTTTAAAAAAAAAAAAACAGAAAAAAATCGAGTTTTGAGTATAAAAACTCTCATAAATCCGTAAAAAAATCCTTTCTTTCATATAAAAATCATTTTTAATTACTAGAATGATAGGATATTTGGTCCATTTTTAAAACTAAATATATTCTAATGAGAGTGGCATATATCCAGAATGAATAGAAAAAAACCGGTGGAAAAAAGGGATGTTAAGTCTACTCGTATAAGCCGATCTTCTATCCTCTTTCCATCTTCCTAGCGGATGTATTAATAGAAAAGCTAATTAATCAAATTTTTCATTCCTCTCAAGTTTATGATCTTCATTCTAAAATTTATTAATAAATTTTTTGAAAAAAATCTTCCCGTGATCTTAAGGATAGAAGAATTTTAGTTTGGCTCCCGTTGCTCAAAAATAGTTAAAATAAGAAAATCATTAATTTATAATCCCACTCCATCGCATTTTTCGCACGAAATTGCTGCCAAAATGTCATAAAATATCAGTTTTTAGTGATGTAAATGTTACAAATAACCTTTTAAATTTTTTTTAATTTATATTTTATAATTACAAAACATATTTTTTTGAAATATTGATTTTTTTCTCAAAACAGATGGCTGAAGTCTCTAAACTTAATTAATTTAGAATAAAATTATAAATATATAAAATTAAGAAAAGTTAATTTAAGTAATTATGACTTTATATTACCTAAATAAATTTCTAAAATTAAACTTTATTTTATTAACACTTAAGAGTTATAAAGCAAGACTTTGAGATGTTCTACATAATGATAGCCGGGTTAATTTTGGATAGTCGTAAATTTCTTTCCGATTTGTTCACCACCGAATGTAAGACATAATTCACCTTAATATATTTCTAATCATTGCCAATATTCTAACATAAAAAAGAAACTTTATTAACCACTATAATGGCAAAAAAAAAAAATACATAAATATTATTTTTCCTCAAGTCGCAAGTTTTTATTACATTTTTCTAACATATTTCATGCTACTTTAGAAACGAATTTTGATATTTATTTAACATATTTTCAGTAAAAAAAGTGCATATATATAACTCGTTTTAATCCACATTTTAATTAAATTATGAACTTGTACAGTTTAAGATGTAAGACATTAAAATTACGCAAATTAATTCTGTATTTTAAATTAAATTTGTCAAAGTTTAAATTACGGAAGTTGGTATTTTAAAGGAACTTAAAAGAAAAAAAAAACATGGCTGTCACACGTGCGAAAGAAGTCACCTTCAACGTTTCGATAACTATGGCTCTCTTTCTTAGACTGTCCTAAATCTTTTTGAACAAGAGCAACGTGCCAAAACTACAATCGAAAATTTCCATCATACGATTTCTAATTTAGATTTAGATTTTTATTTATTTAAATTTTTTTTTTTAAATTGTTCTCTCATAACTTCCATTATCAAAACAGAAATATATATAGTCTACATATTTCATTTATTTATATAGACCTTATAAGTCTAGCATATAGTTATATACCGGAGCTATACTTAAACATCATCTTCCTCTTCAATTTTTTTATTTTTTTTTTTATTTTTTTTTCTGCGATTTATCAGACTTCTTTCCAAGATAAATACTTTGATATTTTGCTTTATATGCAGAAGTTCGAGAGGGGAAAAAAAATATTCTCAACATGTCTAGATTTTCTAATTGTTTTTGGATGATATCCATCTTTGTGCAAGTCACATTAAGCAAAGAAGAAAAGACAATCTTCATCTTTGTCTTCTCAGATCAAAGTTCCTTCAGTAGTAAAGATATTCAAGGTTCAAGAATTCTTTTTTTTTTTATTTTAAATCTTCTTTTCGAGGTAGATGACATTCAGCATACTTCCAGTTTCCTTTGTGTGTAATTTTTGGAAGTTTCAAGCACTCATATGTTAATGTTATGACCAGCGAGACATATGATAACAGTTCGAAAATTCATCACCAGATGGCGGGAGAAGAATTTTAAAATTACGAATATATTTTAATCGTAATTAAATAATTTTCGGATTAATTAATTTAATTTTAATTAATAAATATTTTTAAAATTTTAATAAACTTAATAATTAGATAACATGGCTTATTTGTTTTAATAAATAAATAATTTTAATCCCGTTAGGGTATATAGCCTTTCCCTTGAGTTATTAGTGACAATTATATTTGCTTTTTTTTTTGTATAAAAAATATAAATTGAAGTAATGCCAATGTTTTCCGTTATTTACTATATTTGTTTGCTAGTTTATTGTAAAGAATTCAGTCAAGGTGAGCATTAATTGAATACTGTTACTTGTCTGAGAATTAGTCACATGAAGACTGATTTAAAAAGTTCTTTGCTTGTCAGCGAAATTTTCTAGGATTTGAACTTCAGTACTTTCCATTGTTAACTTCCATAACCTCATTTCTATCTCTATTTGTATACAAACTTAATAAAGACAAAGTCTAAATGACATTTATATTCTCTAAATTTTAAAAATATCAATATATTATATAATTTGATAATTTATTAAGTTTATTATTATCAATATTTTTTATAATTATTAACAAATGTCAAATAAAAATAATTAAANAAATAAATAAATAAATATAAAAACAATGAAAATCTTATTTACATTCTTAAGCAAAGAACAAAGACTATTCCAGAACGCGACTTGCTCTTTGTGATGTCATTTATTCGTCACTAATGACTTCATCTTTGAATTCCGAAATTGTCATGGAACTAGAATTAGTTAAATGAGTAATAATAAACTATTTTAAAGTAGGATTATTTATTCATAACAAAATTAAAATTAATTAATGCTTTTTAATATTCATTTTAATTAGTGAAATTTTTTGAATTTTATTCATAAATTATTTAAACTTTTAATTTTTTTATTAATGTCTTGAAATGTCAAGAATAATGTCAATAATTATTCAAATTAGTTTTTTTTCTTGCAAACTGAATAGATAAATAAGTTCTTAATTAATTACTTAACTAAATTATTCTTCTAATTTATAAGAAAAAAAATTAAATTATAATTTTTAACATTAATTTTATTCAGTAAACTCTATAAATAAATCGTTATTTTGTAAATAAAATTTAAAAATTTAAAACTCTGATGACGTCAAACGATTTGGAATGTCGGGAACGGAATTTAATACCGTATTTTAAACTATATGAATTGTTTAAAATAATAAATGGCAAGTACTTGGAGCGGTTAATAGGTATCTTGGGAACAAAAATAAATTTTTATACAACTAATTATACCGTTGAATAACTAAAAGACACAAATCTTCTAACACTAACCTCTTAAGGTAGACAGGAGTGATATAATCTTAATAAATCTTATTACATCATATTTACGTGTTGTATGACGTAAGAAAGCTACCAATCAGGATATTTATACGAAAAACGTGGTTTGAAAATTTTTTCAAATCACAGTATTTTGAAGCTTCAGCAGAAAAGAAAGACGTTTTTGTTCTATTTTTAAAACTAAATCTAATCATAGGTTTTTCTATGAAATTTAAGACAAATCATCGATTAATTATTATCTAAACATTTATTAAGATTTAAATACTTTTTATTACTTAAAAAATCGAATATAATTCCAGGAAATCATTTCTAATATTCACTCAAATGAGTTTAAAATTATTAAAAATTCCGTAATAAATCAGACTAAATTTTAACAATTTTAAAAAGTTTCACATCTGTATTTATACCGAAAAATTATATTATTTTAATATTAATACTCTATATTAAGTATAGGTTTATTGAAGCATATTTAATACACATTTTTTTTTAAATTAAAAAAAAATTTAATTCAGTAGTCATTCTAGATCATTTAAAAGTAATTTAATATACCGAATTTTCTTTAGACAACATAAAGTTATTGCACTCTTTTAGTTCTATAAATAACGTACTGGGAAGGCGAATATAAAAAAGTATTTAAGTGTACTTTACACCTATGCTGAGGAAGTTTTTAAAAGAGGGATCATAAGACGAGATGCGATGATTCACCTTACAGTCAAGTCAGCATCAATTGAGATTGCGTATATCCGTGCTTTCTACCCACCTCTCTCGTCTTCGTTACGTCCCTTTACAGACAGATTTAGAACTAAAACAGGCATAAGTCGAGGAGGTGTAGGTTTTTGAAGTAGTCCAGAATAGAAAAATCTTTATAGAAGTTCAGGTCAGTCGTTTCTTAATTGAACAAATTACAAGGTAAAAATTACATTTCGTTTCATAATTTTTAACTAAACACGGAGATAAATACGAAAATTTTTTCTATTTATTTTTCAATTATCTAACAAAAATTGTGTAATATATATATATATTTCTTCTTTTTTAAATAAGCGCCCCTCTTTAATGTCTTGTTTTAATGCTTAATACTTGGCTTCGCACTAAAATTAACCGCTTATTACGTTAAATTATGCTCAATTATTTCTATTTTTTAAAAAATTCTTCACATAATTCGTGAAGTAATGACTACGTAATTCTTTCCATTCTCCTAAATTTAAACGCATTCTTAAGAATTAAACCCCGCCGACTGCTAAAAATAAATATATCAATGTTAATTAGGAGTATTTTTTCCAACAATATCTGCGTATTTTGACATTTCCAAGTACGTCACTTCCGGTTATAACTATTCCTTTTTCTTTGTCATTTTAATAAATTTGCTTTAAATAAACGAAAAATATCTTCCGTGTCAAAAAAATAATTTTAAATTAAATAAAAAATAAATTATTAATATAAATTAATTTAAAAACGATTTTTCGACACAAAGAAATACGGAATTTAATGAAATGACAGGTCACCGAGCGGGGCGCCTCTGGTGGGAAGATTGCCAACTACGTCAGCTGGTTAGAAGACGTTTTTCCTAAATAAAACTCTTCCAGCTGGCATCTCTTTATATAAAGATCATAAATCAAACTCGAAAGATACTCGAAAAGTATTTACACAGTAATAAATTTAAATCGAATCCATTGACCCAGTTTGAAAAATTAAAAACATAAAAGGCTTGTTTATTTTCGTCCGGTTTATATTATTGCCCCGGTTTATCCCTTATTTATAGGAAACATTCTTTTTAGATTAGCCTTAGTAATAGAATTAACATGTGGAATAGGAACGAATGACATTTCTGTATTGTCATCATACCAAACACGTGATCCCAAAGATGCGCAACTTTATGTTACGTTATTTTAAAAGTTGTTTTTATCAACGTGTTTATTAGCAAACTCTTCAGTCGAAGATTCTAGCAAATACGCCCACGTTGCAATTACCGTACAATCGTTAAAATTATAAATTTAAATGCGCAATAGTATTTAAATTTAATTTTATCAACATCCCATGAAGTACTTTTCGCAAGATTTTTGGCTCTCTTATAAGAGGATTTCCCAAATTATGAGGTCAACTAATCTGTATATGCAGTCGACCCCCCTATAACACTGTTGATAATTCCGTTTTATATGAATTCCACGTTGTACGAGTCACTTAGGTTTTACAAATACGTGTGCCGGGCTGTGAACGGCTCACGTATTTGTAAAATCTAAGTGACTCGTACAACATGGAATTCATATAACACGGAATTATCTACAGTGTTATAGGGGGGTCTACTGTACATCGTAAATCTTCTTAAATCTAGATGAGAATTTCATTTATCCTGCTGATACGTGTTTAATTTCATTAATTAAAGTAATGGTATTAACTCGTGTAATTGTCAATTGAATTAATATTATTGGATTGCTGGATTTCGTTCAAATGGGAAAATTTAATTTAGGTTCAACGACTCGATCGAAAGTTAATGTCAAAGAGATTTTATATTAGAAAATGAACATAAATATACCATAATTACAATAATACAATTATAATTAAAAATTTAATAAGGAAAAATATGTTTATCTTAATAATAATGCTAGATATAATCATGCAACGGAAACTATGGTTATCAAGATTAATGCCATTTGTTTGTCTGGAAATTTCGAATCTACTTTTCATTTTACTCTGCTTAAAAATATTAATTACCAATGATAAAGACTTTTAATTAGTTTTTTTCCACATTTTATTTATACAGTCGAACCTACAATAACGGCCACCTGTAAACAGCCGCCATTTTTTTCGTGTTTTTTTTTTCAAACAAAAGTGTATTTAAAGTAACCTCTAAACAAAGGCCATTTTGTTTTTTATGTTTCAATTTGTGGCCGTTGATCAGCGGTTTGACTGTATTCGAATTTAGATTGCTTAATATGAAATTTCATAACTGATATAATCATCGGATTGATTTGGTATTTGATCTGGAAGGCAAGTCAAATTTACTTTGTAAGGTTTTAGTATTTAAAGATTATTATTTTAACATAATATTAAATAGATAATATGTAAATAAACTAAAAATATATCGCATTTTAATTAATTTTTTTTTTCTTAAATTAACTTATTTATGATATTTGAAATTACAATTTGATATTTTTAATGTTAAATTAATTGTGTTTTTTTATATAACATTCATTGTATTGGATATTGTATATTAATAACTGTATATTGTATAGATATAATAATCTGTACGTTTTGTAATTTCGCTGATGCATTTTTCTTACTTTGTTCCCTGTACAGAGTGGAAAACCTTGTACTAATAAATAAATAAGTAAATATATATAACATTTATTAACTTATATAATGTGTTTTTTATGTATGTAATTTAATTTTATAACAAAAAAGCCATCTGTTTTAATATATCGATCCGATTTAAAACTCAAATATTCAAAATTGTATGTATGAAATCAAATTAAATGTCTTTCATCCATCAATGGCCGAGTGGCTAAAATCACTGAATACTTACCATGGGTTACGGGTTCGCGCCTGATAAACGGGGTGGCCACGTGAAGTTTTCCGGATTTTCCTCACGTATCTAATAAATAAAAAGGGGTCAGTTTCCCATAGAAACATCCCTAGAGTCATCTCCCTCTTGGCAAATCGGCTAAGCGTTACGCAGCTGTATCCCATCAAAAATCAAAACAATTTGAAAAATAGAAGTTATTTTTAAAATTAATTTTATTAAAATTACGTAGTTAGGAATGTACTTTTCTTATATTGAAAGCATACAAAAATTTCTAATTCTTGTTCTCTTTTCCTTTTTTTTATGCATGTTCTTTCGACTGTCTCTTCAAGGCTTTTGTTGGGGATCTTTGAAATTGTTACATCAATCAGAAGATATATGGAAGGGGAACCGGGCATTTAAAGAAAATGTTGACGTGTAATATGTAAGTGATGGATTAATTTTATATATTTTTTAAAAGTTATAAATGCTTTAATTAATTATAACTAATTTGTCGATATTTTTGTAGGTTGTCAACTATGAAATGCTTTCTTATATTTCTTTGGACCTCGTATAGTGAATTTTTTCTGCTGCTCTGAACCACATCTAAATTGCTCATTCCAAATAAGTTAACTAAGAAGAACTTTACTTAATTTTTAAAATAATTCAAAATGGCATCAGCGTGGAGTCAATTGGATCAACTTTTAACGTGTGCAATCTGCTTAGACAGATATCGCAATCCAAAACTTTTACCATGCCAGCATACTTTTTGTATGGATCCCTGCCTAGAGGGATTGATCGATTATGCAAGGAGACAGATAAAATGTCCAGAATGTCGGGCTGAACATAGAATACCTTATCAGGGAGTGCAGGCATTTCCTACCAATGTAACGTTAGTACGATTTTTAGAATTGCACAGAGATATAACGGGTGAAGAACCCGAACCTCCTACCAGCATGATGGAACGATGTACTGTTTGTAGCGAGAAATCGTATCTTGAAAGATGCGCTCATTGTGATAAGAAAATATGTCAAGATTGTAGAGAGGCACATGCTGATGTATTGAGAAGAGAAATAAATAGAATTAATAATCAAGTTAGAAGAGGACTTAGCAAGTTATCAGATGCTCTTTCCCAGACACAAAAGAATGCAGATAAATTGAAGCAAAATTGCCGTCAAGTAAAGGACGAGATTGAAGAATTAGTTAGAAGATATAGTAAAGATTTAAAAGATACAGAAGATAAATTAAAACACGATTTAGATGTATATATACAAACGGAGATGAAAAATATCACTAAGCTTAAAGACGATTTAGATGTAGAAGTATCTAATATTAATAGCAACTGTGAATTAGTAGATAAGTACATTAGCGATACAGTAGAATGGTCAGATTCAGAATTGGTTGAATACAAAGATATATTTCTCAAAACATTAGAATTCTTAAGAAATTTTGACCCTGACACTTCGGATTTTTCTCGAAAAGTTAGATTTGAACCTAAATCAGATCCTGATATTTTGCATAGGACCATAGCCGATTTTGGTGAAATTAAAATCAATGCTCCGTTCCTAGCTGCCAATTTGAATTTAGCTCCCCCTCACGGAAATGCTTTAATGAGAAGCCAGAGTGATCATCGTTTAGCTTCCCAATTTCAAAGGCGTCAGGAAGGTTCTAGAAATTTTCTCGATGTCAGTCAGAGATTTGCTGGCCACGCCAGTGATTCTGAAAGAGAATCACGAGATGGTGTTCAAACTTCTCCTCTTTTTGGTAGAAGCAGGAGAGATTATGATGGTTATCGACGTTACAGCGATAGAAATAGAGAAGACTACGGAGAATCCAGAGAAGTAGGTAGAAGTCGTTTTCTTAGGGATGAAGGTTCTAGGTGGAGAGACGGCGATAATGAGTATAGTAGCTATCGTTCACGTTATAGTAGAGATTCTAGTGATTACAGCCAAGAAAGCGAGCATCATTCTTCTCATACCAGAACTGTACGATTTGAAGAACCTGCAACAAGTCCTCAACGAGAACGTGTGATAGAAATTGATGAATCAACCAAAGGTCCTTTAAGTGGTATTGCAAGATTGCTAGACTCTTCTTACGTTCTAGAACGTCTTCGACAGAATGAAATTAAGCAGAAGCAACAGGAAAAAGAGAAAGAAAAAGCAAGTCAAGAACCAGCCCCTGTATCAACACCTGCACCGACTACAACTCCAGTACCACAGCCACCCCCAAGAAGGACTACTCGTCAGTTAAGTGAAGATGATATAGAAAAACAGAAGAGGCAGAATCAACTTCAAGCAAGATCAAATTCTCCAGTAACATCTCCAACAGTAACAGCAACATCAACTGTACCTGCATCTCAAACTCCTACACCACCTCATTCTCCAATTACCGAAAAACCTGTACTACGCAGAGTTGCAGCGTTACAAAAGGAAGAAGAAAAGAAAACTGAAAATCGATATCAAAGACAAAATTCCATGAGTCCCGACAGCGAACGGTTGAGCAGTTCTCGACGTGGTTCACAGCAGGAAGATGATTCTTCGAGGTCCAGAAGGAGAAGTACAGAGATCACCGCAGTAGCTACGCCCGCATCCCCTCAACCTTCTGTGGAGTCCCCAACACTTACTAGGCAAGTATCTGATCCATTAACCTCAGATCTACCACCAGCACCTAGGCGACAGACGGGGGCCCGGGAAGGCTCCTCCCTTCACCCTACCCACACCGAAACTTCGGTGCCTACTCGAATCCGTTCCTCTGGCACAGAATCTACTCCAGTCAGAAGAGCTTATAACTGGAGACATACTAGTGATACACGGTTCGATAAACCCTCGTTAGCTGGACGAGTAAATCCGATTTCCACTATTAGTCGTGAGATCAAAGACGAGCCCGTTTTGGATCGTTTCCATCATGTACCAGCACCAGTTCCCCTTCAGAGAACCACAAGTTCTTCTGTATTATGTAGAAGAGTGAGTCTTGAAGATTACTCGGGACAAGAGAGGCCGAACTATAATCGTTTTCGTTCAGCAAATTTCAGTCGACCACTGTCTGGAAGTACGCTGAATTTATCAACTGATGTCCATGAAGATTTTCTTCTTGGTGGAGCCAGGAGTCCTACCTCCCCTCTGTCGTCCCCGTTTGTACGCCGGCCACTCGTCGTCGCAGCGCCAGAATCAAGTAATGTTACTGTTTACTTTGGCTTGGAAACGTTTAATTTTCTACAAGTGTGTTCCTAGTGTTGTCATCAGATGACATTAAAATACATACGATTCTTGTTTTCATTGACAAGGAAATTTTTGACAATTTTTTAACAAATGCATGCATTTATAAATTTTGTTTTTTGAAAAGTAAATATAAATATGCTAGATTTAAGTTTTCAAGAGTTTTCTCTCTTTAGGTCTAAGTCGTCGCTGGGGAAGACCGTTTCGCTAGATGCCCAAGATGAGTCGAGCCGTCCCACGTTACCCCGCGTTCAGGAACAGAGGGAAGAGGAAAGAAAATTAACCGAATCCCCCCGAGCAATTCAATCTTCATTTTATGGACGCCTTTCAGCATCCAGACGACCTGAGCCCCAACCAGAACCCAAAGAAGAACCAAAAGTAGAAGAGGAAGACGAAGATGAAGATGAAAGTGAAGAATCTGAAAGCGAATCAGAATCCGAAAGTGAAGAGAGCAGTAGTGAATCGAGCGAAAGTGAGAAAGTGGAAGAGAAAAAAACAACGGAAACTCAAGAAAATTCTTCTTCCACCTCTTCGGAATCGGAAGAGGAGGAACAAGAGGAACGAAGTCCTACGCCTCCACCGCCAGCACGCAGCACAGAATCGAAAAGAGAAAGCAGAGATTACAATAATGTCGACACTAATCACGTATCAACTCGAAATAGTTATTCCAGTTACAGTAGAAGCAACGATGTCGATTCCAGAAATTCTTACGGCAATGATATTGATTCTAGAAGTTCTTATAGCAATGATATCGATTCCAGAAATTCTTACAGAAGCAAATGGTGGGAAAAAGATAAGAAAGATGATTACGTGCCACGATATTTAAGTAATCCCTTAGGTAGACGTAAAAGCACATATGACGAAGATGAAGAAGAGACCAGGCCCTATAGCAGATTTTTGGCACGTAGTCGCAGTTCTGCATTACTTGGTAAAGAAGACAGTCCCCCAGAAGATACAGGACGTTACAGAAGATATAGTACAGCAGCAGCAAATCTACGCAGAAATAGAATTGCAAAAAGTAAAAGTAGCCATGACATCGGTTTTGGTGAAGAGAGCGCGGAGGATGATGTACCATCAACGCCTACTTATGGAAGATCGAGTAGAACGTCCGAAAATTCGATATCTAGGAGCAGAAGCCACCATGCTATTAAATCTAGAGAGCCTAGTCCAGAAGAAGATGATCGTCTTTCGTGGTCAAAATATCTCAGAAACAAATATGGGACTGGGAGTAATAGCACGTCGAGGAATGTTTCACGCAGCAAAAGTTCTCATGCAATATATTCTCGAAGTGCTAGTGAAAATAGCTCAGAAGATGAATATGTTCCAATAAATTCCCGCAGGAAAGAAAGCATTGGAAGAGTCAAAGACTCTTATCTCTTCTCTAATCCAAGAAGCACTTACGTACAAAAGAAAAGAATGGTGATGAAAATCGGAACTCGTGGCACAGATCCTGGAAAGTTTACATGGCCTCGTGGTGTATCTATCGGTCCAGATAACATCATCGTTGTAGCGGACAGCAGTAACCATCGAGTTCAGGTAAGGTTTTTATCATCGATTATCCAAATGTCTTGGTTATTATTAATTTTCTTTTCTGTTTCTCAGGTTTTTGATCATAATGGTAAATTCTTACAAGAATTCGGAAGTTATGGTAGTGCTGAAGGGGAATTCGATTGCTTAGCTGGAGTAGTAGTCAACAGAATAGGCCAATTTATCGTTTCTGATCGATACAATCATCGAATTCAAGTATTCGATCCTTCTGGACGATTCCTGCGATCCTTTGGTTGTGAAGGTCGAAGTGATGGACGTTTCAGCTATCCATGGGGAATCACAACAGATAGCCTCGGTTTTATATACATTTGCGACAAGGAGAATCACAGAGTCCAGGTAAAAATGTTTATAATTTATTAGAAAATATATAAAAACGGTCACGATGTAATATCAATTGTGTGTTTCAGGTATTCCAATCAGATGGTACATTCGTTGGTAAATTTGGCACTATTGGTACAAGACCAGGACAGCTCGAACATCCTCATTATATAGCCGTTACAAATACGAATAGGGTTGTCGTCAGTGATACAAATAACCATCGAGTTCAAGTGTTCGATGTTAATGGCCGCAGTTTGTCCACGTTTGGTACCGAAGGATCCGAAGAAGGACAGTTTAAATTTCCTAGAGGCATTGCAGTTGATGATCAAGGTTATATTATAGTTGGAGACAGTGGAAACAATAGGATACAAATTTTCCATCCTGACGGTACATTCCTTAAGTCATTTGGCACTTGGGGATCTTCCGACGGAGAATTTAAGGGACTCGAAGGAATTGCTGTCACATCCAGCGGGAATATTTTTGTTTGTGATAGAGAGAATCACAGGATCCAGATGTTTTGAGTAAGTATTTTTAAGATTTATTATTACAATTGTTATTTTTAACATCGTAAATATTTGTTTTTTAAATATATTTGAAACACTACATTTGCAATCAATCCAAGTTACTAAAAACACTGTTTTTCTGCTTCATAAACCAAGAAATAATGGTTTTTATAGTAATAATCTTATGATTTACTGATCTAAAACGTTTACTACTGTATAAAACTACTCTGTTACTATGTAGAAGTGATTGCTAATAAGCATAATAATCACTGTTCTGTGATTTATTGTAATTACTGTACTATACCAAACTCAATATTAATTAAAAATAGCAACATGAATAATTACCATTTAGTAATCAATTAGTAGTATAAAATCTTATGAATTAATACTACCAGAACTTATTAGAATTGCATAGGTATACCTAAGCTAAAAATAACTAAATTAGAATAAACTTCCATCTCAAAATGGAAACTTCCATTTTAAGAGGAAGATTATTGGATCAAAAACAATCTTCAATAATAAATAATTGAAAATAGATTGTAATTAATAATTAAATAATTTTAATTTTTCAATAAAATTTCATTAATTACTTTTAAAAATTTAACATATTTCCAAAGTAATACACTAAAAAAAAATATATATATATATATCCTTCAGAGAACCACAAGTTCTTC